TGAGGTTGATGGGAGCTGCCGCGACGCCAGCCTACAAACGTCCACAAGTCAGTCCTGACGAGATTGCTAGGCAACTTATCAACAATTCACGAATTTCAATCGACAGAAGCATAAGACGGCAAGTCGACAAATAATTGTATTGCACACTAGATAACTGCCAAAGAAACCTCTGAATTCTCCCGTCCATTCTCAGTGGAGGAAGTAGATGCCGGTATTGCCCAGTTGAAATGTGGGAAAGCCTCAGGTCTTGACGATATTTATCCAGAATTCATCAAGAACTTGGGACCAAGAGTAAGAAAATGGCTAGCCACATTCTTCAATGACATCCATTCCATAAGCACTGTTCCGAAGCCATTCAGAAACCAGGCAAGGACGCATCGGACGCTCAAAACTATCGCCCTACTCAGCGTCTGCTACAAACTAATAGAGCAGCTTCTGCTCAAAAGGCTGATGCCCACGCTTGAGGAAATAGTTCCCCAGGAACAAGCAGGATTTAGAACTGGTCGAAATTGTTGTGACCAGGTGCTTGCCTCAACAAGTCACATCGAAGCTGGTTCCGAACGCCAGCTCAAAACAGCAATAGCTTTCATCGACCTCTCTTCAGCTTACGATACCTTATGGCGGAAGGGACTTCTACTGAAGTTTGCGAAAGCCGTGCCTTGCCGCCCGACAATTAGACAAATCAGACAAATGCTGAGCAACCGATGGTTCACCGTCCACCTAGGTGAAGCTGCCAGCAGCCCACTAAGATTGAACAATGGACTCCTGCAGGGATCAGTTCTGGCACCAGCGCTGGTCAATCTCTATACTAGTGATATTCCAGCGACATCTTGCTATAAGTTCACATATGCGGATGATATCACACTCGCAACCCAAGCACGGAAAATGGAAGCCACTGAGGCAGTCCTCGAAAAAGATCTGAAGACTCTGGAAGTATACTTCAAGAACTGGCGCCCTAAGCCAAATCCATAAAAGAGCGTTGTCTCTGCCTTCCACCTGAACAACAGAAAAGCTTCGAAAACGTTGAACGTTAACTTCCGTGGGGCGAAGCTAAGGCATGGTGAACACCCTCGGTATCTAGGAGTTACCCTGGATTGGACATTTAACTACCATCACCACCTCAAACAAGCTAAAGGTAAAACGAAAGCACGAGTGAATATTATTCATAAACTTGCAGGAACAACCTGGGAAGCGATGCCAGCATGTTGAAGATATCAACGCAGGCCCTGGGGTGCAAGCCCTCACACGAACCTTGTCGATGCCGAAATTAACAATGCGCTTCGTATCATGAGCGGTTCCCTAAAGTCTATTCCACTCCAGTGGCTTCCTGTGCTGGCGAATATCGCTCCGGCCAACATCCGACGCGATGATGCGACGACACGGGAATACAACAAGATCATGAAAAACTTCACTCTGCCGCTCCATCAAGATCTAAAGGAACCCCCACGCCCAAGGCTAAAATCCAGGAAACCGTTCTGGATACGCGTCCCCGCTCTAGCAGCCGAAAATAAAGACACCGCCACTCGGTGGTCTGAATCATGGGCGGCTATGGACGTGGAAAACAAAAACATCATTCACGATCCGGCAGTGGAAGTACAGGCATTCTCTCTTCCACGACGACTATGGACCACACTGAACCGCGCTCGAACACGACACAGCAAATGCGTGTACACATTCCATAAATGGAAGATCAAAGAATCGCCCAACTGCGACTGTGGAGAGAAGTCCAAACCATCAAGCACATCACCGATGAATGCTCCTTTCATGCACATCCTGGCGGTATCGCTGAAATCCACACTGCGTCAACCACATCATTGCACTGGACGAGTCACCTTTGCATTAATTTCTGACGATCATTAAGAAAAAAAATGTTAACTGTTGCTTTTCACAATGCCATACGAAAGAAGAAGATCTGTCACATTCATCATCTGGATTCTTTGCTTGAAAATTTTTAGTGCAAATGTTCGGCTCGTTTGTTTCATCCTCATTTAAGTCGGTGTATTGTATTGGAATTGTACTACTTTTATTGATGTTGACCGTTTTGGATTTGCTTCCTATTTAAACAGTTTGTATTATAACGTATAAAAGAGACGTACCGTCTCGAAGAGTTCTCATCATCATCAGCCATGTTCAATCCACTTTTGGATTAAGGCCTCCCTAAACCGTTTCAATATCTCACGATCCTGCAATCTAAAAGAGTGAGCTCCCACCTGGTAACAAATTCATTTTCTGTAACTCCCATTTTCCTGGCTTCAAGGAGCAACACATTAGCATTACGCTCAAACGTGACAATGCTGTGAAATCATATGTCCTGAAGTCGGGCTGTATACGTCAAATGTTATGCAATTTGCTCAGGTACACGGTGGAAATGCAGGTTCTCCTCGAAATATATAAAGTGTTCCAGCCACCGAGTTTATCTTACAAACGCATTATATGGCAGAGATGGGCAGGTCAGCTCTGAATTCCTCTCATTCCACACGTCCTCCTCCATCCCTGGACGGGAGTTTGAAAAACCTGTCCACAGTGGTGAGGCCAGATGGTGAGTGCCCGAACCTGTCTCCACGTGCAAGTCACCACTGGTCTTGTGCACCCATTTACTTCTCTTTCGGTATTGGGTGTGATCAAGGTCGGTAAAGGTGCAGTCCCTGCAATTGCTACCTCACTCCACAGCTGACAGAAGGCCATCCAATTGAGGGAACTCTGGAGAATCTCTCTCAGGGATATTTTGGCCTCCTCTTCCACGCTAACCAACACAACATGGCAGCATCCCAGGGTAAACTTCTATAATACTATACCATTTGCGTAACCATGAACGATAGCATCGCATTAAATCTCTTTTTTTTTGCAAGAGCCTGAGTGTATTGGACTCTGTGGGCTTGTCTGCCTACAAACTGAATTACAAATGTACATGTCACATGCATTATATCATTGCATAAAATGAAACATTATGTACCGTGTACTTTGGCTGTGTGTAATGTTGATTAACAAAGGGTGAGTGATTATAGCTGAAGTGGTGTAAAAAAAGTCACAATAATGCATAGGCGAAGCAATCAGATGCAGAGTAGATTAGATCTCGAAGTGTAATAACTTTAAGTCTAAATTATGGCATAATTACCAATGCAAATTGTATCAAAATAATTACGTAAAGTAAGCAAACACAACAACCAAGCTTTACATTCACAGTGTGCTATATTTTTCTTCTCTTATTTTTTGCTTGAGCCTGTTTAATATTTGCAGATTACTGGAAGCAACCTGATGGAGACCGAGTTTGTCATTTTCATTGGGTAATTGATATCTCTGAGATCCCTGTGGAATTGCAGAAAAATCCACTGCAAGACACTGCAATTTACAATATTTCTTCCATGCAGCTCTGCAGGAATGACTTTGTTAAGTGCTATATAAATCACACTTTCCACAAACGCACCACGCATATGCACAACCAGTAAAGCAGTCGATAATGCCCCAAGTTTAAGTAATGGGTTTTCTAAGCACATCATCAAAAACCTGAATCCTATCCCAACAATACATTTTACAAACCTCATACCGTAAATAACAGGAAACATGCGCACTGCATATATATGAGCATTTAATAATAATAATTTACAGCCGTTTGTCAATCCAGTGCTGAATAAGGGCCTCCCCATGCTGTTTTTGTCATGGGGGCGATTTTACGATACTTCACCATGCTGGTCACAGGAGGTTGGTGAAAGGGATGGAGGGGGGTGGCAGCAGGGTGGCCAAGACAAGTGTGGATATAACTCGCGCACTGATATTAGCCCTGGTCCAGAATGGAATTAAGGTTTCCGGGTTCATAGCGCAGTGCGCTAACCACTGTCCATCCGACTGTATGCGCATGTGTGTAGATCTTCTTTCCCTTCCTGATTTACATGATTAGTGTGACATATTCTTGGTTCTTTATTGTATTGTTTCCCTTCTACGTGACTTTACCGAAAGAACCAAGAATATGAATCCCTGCAGTCACGAAAGCTTTAAATCAAAATTAGTGTGACATAGATAAAGCAATGGCAAATCATGGAGGGATTTCCAAAATGTCTTCATATTTTCTTCTTCTTTCAACATTAATGAAAGTTAAATGAGACATTACCACTTTATTATTTGGTTCAGAATTGCCAATTGTGATGCTGAATGATTCCGAGCAACTAAATATGTGTCTGGCGCTGGTGTGGGATGATTGGCACCAAAATTAAATCGAGAGACACCCGTTCTCATTATCTGTAAGAGCCTGACTTGTAATCTGGCAAAGGGAAATGGGTCATACATTACACAAGAATGGCAGATCAATCACCCAGCAGGGGTAAAATAGCTCTGTTTTGAAAGTCAATATTCCATCCCTTTTATGCATATTTTTTTCTCTCTCACACACACACAATGCAATATGTCAAAACTTTACAGCCACCATATATGTCCGCACAATTAATATTTTAGTGGACGCATGCACATAGTAAATGGTGTACACTTTGTGAATAAATGCGATAAAGTTTCTGGATACTGTTCTGAAAATATATGGTGGCGATAATCATGAAGGGTAGAATGATGCGGCGAATTATCAAATAAAATTGCTTCATAAGCGCTGAATCATAACGAATTATCCAATTCGCTTTGGTAATAGTTTGTTGGCAGAAGGGTGGGGGTGTGGAGGCAGGGGAGAGGGGATTAATAATTCTACCAATATAAATTATTAATTTAAACGTATAGAGATAAATATATAATTAATTTGGGTTAATTACATGCCAATGGGAGGAGCAGTTGCAATAATTGTTGGGACGGAAGCAGCACAGACCTGGAAAGTGAAGGACAAGCCACGCAGACAGCTCAAAGTTAATACCGAATATTTACGTCCACACACAGAAACCAACGCGGCGGCCATTCAAGCCAGAGAGCAGGAATGTGTGTATGTGTGTTTGCCATCGGCAGCCGTATTTTGTGGAGGAACAGGCAGCGCCCCCCCCCCACCACCCCTCCTCTCACATTTCTCTTACCGGTGTCTTTCCTGCACACGGTCAACTGGTCGCGCTCGCCCGTCCCGCAGCGAGCTCCACCGTCCGGGAAACAGGCACCCACGCCGGCCACCTCCCAGCGGAAGCACGCAGGGTCGTCACAAGGCAGCACCTCAGCCAGGTGAGTGCAGTCGCCTTCTCCACCACCACCGCCTGCCGCCTCCCTCACAATTCGCCTCCTCCTGCGTTTAAATCCTTGGGCGATGCGTTTGAACCAACGGGGGGGGGGGGGGGGTGGCAACAAATGTCATCGTCGAGCAATTAATCCGGAGCCGCCGGTGAATTCAACAGGGTTTAAAAGCGTTTTGCCCATTCATGATTTATGCAACTACTGAATTTAAATATACTGGTGGTGGCGGGGTCAGGTGCGGAAGAACACACTGGAGTATGTGTTAATCTTCATGAAAAATAACACGAAAAAAATGTGCATAAGCCTGTTGGCTACATTGTGAAATATGCTCGTTTTATAAGCCGTGAAATGTATTAAAAGTTCATTAAAAGCAAAAAACATTTAAAATAAACATTAAAAAGATTTGCATTTGTGGATCAGCTTCATACTTTATTATCAAGTTGAAAGCCATGAAATTGATTTGCTGCAATGATTTACCCAATCCTATTTTAATATGAATCCTTTGTCACTTTATGCGGCACATACAGTTATGGCTTTTCAGCACCGTGTGGTCCTGCACAGCAGCATTCAATTTCGTATATATGGCATACTGCCTCCTTATTATTGTCCCAAATGCACGGAACGCCACCGCCGTGCTTCACAGCTCCTCATATGTCAGCGGCGGCGCTGCAGCTGTTGTAAAAAAAAAGGAAATCGGCGGCCTTTCGGCCTCCTATGGAGGGATGATTGGTGAGCCGTCGCCCAGTTCGACAAAGCATTAATCCACGGTGTTGTTGATCCCCTGCCTGCGATGGCTCGTGAACATTTTTTCTGTGTTTGAGCCATGCTCGGCGTAGCCACTGCTGCCTTCTCCACGAGATACCTTTCTTGCCGGGGGCTTCTCCACAATTTTCAAAGGTGCAGGGACCCCAGGCTGTCCACGGGGTCAAGCGGCACTCAGCTGGGCAGGGCACTGAACATGCCTGCAGCGTCTCAGGCTTGTCCACACCACACAGGCTGCTGTCCACGGGTCGCGACGCTGCAACACACGAGAGTGGGCTGCCCATCCAAGCCTCACTTACATGACCAAAAGTTTTTTTTTTTAATGGATAATCCTTTTTAAATAAATTATGCTGCAGGATTACAACCGCGAATGATGCTGCCATGGTGTAATGAACTAGAGGTCCAGTTCAATTCCACCACTTGGCAAAGCAGTTAAAAGAATGGACAGGTTTCTTAAATTCCCCTACCTCTTTCCACACAGCGTTACAAATGGAAGCGCAGGCCAAATAGCCCCTATAGGGATTCTCTAGAGCCCCCTCTAGTGGATGGCCTTATTCCAAGCGTTATGTGTGCAAGCAATTGCAGGGCTTTACCTCTAACTATTACAATTTCCAGATATGGACTCCATTAAAATATACATTACTGGGGGTTTCTGGGTGGCTCAGGGGTCATAGCACAGAGTGAGCACACCGAGATTATGGATTTGAATCTGGGTTTCAGCCACCCGTGATTAAAGTGTGTTTTCAGGTATAGTGAGTTGATGGTCTCAGTTCAGTCACCAATGATGACAAAAAAACAATTATATAAATGAGAATTGGTTTAATTTATTGGAAAAAATTCCAGCTCTTAGAATGATAAAATATATTTTTTTTCCATGAAATTAAGATTTCTTTGTAGCATAGCTTGTGTGTAAAATAAACTCGGACGTTTTATTTTCCCTTTAAAACAGAACGTCGAGACCAGTCTTAAAAATAAACCCACATTTTTTATTAGATTACTTATTCTAATAATTCCTAATTAAGGATGAAATAATTAATCAATGAATTAGCTATATCTGTTTATCTGTCTGTAACGTGGTGTCATAGTAATTCTCGTAAACAAGATCCAAAATAAAAAAAAGTAGTATAAAGTTATGTTGCTATTAGGGGCCTACTCTATAGAAACCTAGCAAATTGATGAAAGGATTTTCCAAAATAACCAGCGCTAAATACCTTTTCAATAAAAAAAATAATGTGATGTCATCATGAGCAGCGTCATCTTGTTGTGCACCTCGGAAGGTAATATTATTATCACGGATTAAATATTTCCACGGACAAATGCAGAAAGCATGTTGCTTATGCATGAAAATTGTTCCTTGTTTAAAACTAAGATAAACTTTACTCGTATATTTGCGTGAACGCTTAATTGCATTCATCACCTGGTAGCTATGTCCATTATTTTACCTTAAAACTTTAATCTGCTCGTCAATTTTTGCCCCAAAATTTACAAGAAACGCACACATGCAGTCTTTATGAAAAGTTGACATCCGTGGAGTGTGATGAGTCTAAGAGGGGTTGGGAACGGATCTGACGGAATGGAGGGTAGCTTCAGCCATGGACCTGTCCCTTGGGCAGAAAACTTGAGGGATTATGAATATTAACGAGTTTTGTGAGGTTTGTCTCACCAATCTGAGCAGGTTGTCCTTGCCTATACGATGTGATAACCACGTTCGTGGCACAAACTTTCACTGGCATACTGATTGCAAAGTGTGACGCGACATTCCTAATTGGAGCAAAAACAAATTACGAATTTTGTGAAGCATGACTTGCCGGTCTCACCCTAAAACACCTTTGACCTTACATTGCTGTTTGTGAAACACCTTGATTGGTTTGAATGTCAAAGTGGTTTGTGGTTCTTGTGCCTTTCACATATTTTGCCAATTGATTTTCTTTGCCGGTAATTGTTGTTGGGTGTTGTCTTTCTTCTTGTATCTGGCAGAGTATAATCATTCCATCATTCATGATTAATGGGATAAATTATCTTGAAAAGCATTTGTTAGAGCCACACCACTTATATTTTTATTTGTATACTGTATACGATTCCTTTATTGGAAATATAATCGATGATGCGGCTATTAAGACTGCCATGTAAGGATATTAATCATATTTCTAAATTATGTGACGGAGTGGCTTGGGCAACAAATGCCAAAGTCCAACCAATGAGCAGACACCACAGAAATCCCGAGTCTGAATCTACATATAAGCCGCCCTCGATTAAACTGGGTTCTCCAGAACTTGCTTTGTTTCCTCTGCCTACGATGGACTGCCTCACTTTACATCGTAAATAAGTCACCTGTTTATGTACAGCGTCTCGAGATGTGGTCGCATTTGAATGCCACATACATCCGGTTATATTGTGTCGTAGAATTGGCATTATTGTTTGTGTTATGATCGTAACACTGAAATTATTCCAACAATAATTTTTGTTTAAAATTTTCATTAAAGTATTCTATTTTACTTTCATTGTTGTAATAATAACTATAACACTCACCTCTAACACAGTGATTCTAGCTCTGACCTCCACAGCTCCAGTCAGAACAATCAAGTTTATCACATCAGAGAAATATGAATCTTAGGGGTCACAGTGGCTTCCAGTTTCCAGGTCCGACCTTGCCAGTCTCTAACCTGAGTTGAGTCAAATGAATCTCGACTGCACTCAGAAACCGTAGCTGCAGATCGGGCTGCCGAGACTGACGGTTGTAAGTACTGTCCAATAGGCAGCCTGCGTTTATATAGCTGAAGGAAGAGTGCTGGAGGAGGCTACTCCAAGTGCCCCTCTAGTGCGAGACCAGCAACAGATCACTTCTGTGCCCTGTTGCTGGTCTCTCGTAAAAGCTGGCCATGAAACCTGCGTACGAACGTGCTATACAATGGGTCAATAAAATACATTGGGTCGATGTAACAGAATCGGCATAGAGATGAGTGTTCAGACGTGAGCTCATAAAAAGTCAGCTTTATCACAGGGATTTTGCCGAAGGAGGCAAGCTTCTAGAAAACCATCAATGTCACGCATATTTATTTCTTGTCCACATTCCAGCAAATCATGATTTTCTCAAGATAATTAGTTAACATTATACACATTTAACAACTTGCAGCAATTTCAGCATAATTAGCAGTGATATAATAGTTTGTTTAACCAGGTTTATGACCATTGGCTTCCATTATCATTGGTGTGAAAATAAGTTTAAATACTCGCTACGGAATTAAATGTGGAAAAAACCCTCACACTTTTATATCCAGCCATTTCAGTTCCATTTATCCATGGATTACTTGTCCACATAAGGTAATGTCATTCATAAGCCTTACGTTTTGCCAGAGGAACCATTACAATGTCGATTGTGTGCCAAGTGGAAAGCTAAGTAAAAACTGTATGGGCAATTAATATGAAATGTGGTGCAGGAGTAGTCGCACTCAGCAACTAATTCATCCAACCGCTGCGTTTATGGATGCATATTTCTACTCTTCTTCGCTTTGAGCCTTCGGCCTTCACCACTGTTGGGGCTCATCTACACTCACTGCCTCAATGTGTCACTGCTTCAAAGTTCTCTTCAGTTCTGCGGTTCTTCCCCGATCTATTTCAACTCCCTCTCTTGATCCACCATTGATGCCGCCTACACAGCCGACACACAGCTCTGTCACGTCCTTTCGAGCCTTCTGCGGATCCGTTGGCCGCCAAGCGCAGTCACCTGCCACCGCTCATCTTTTTTTACGTGTGTCCATTATAAACGCAGCTTTTTGCCTCCACGTACACTTCTGCGTGGTCCGTTTTCACTGTTTGCAATGACCACCGGGCAGAACGTACTTGTTCGTAACACGGCACTTGTAAGATGCCCAGATTTCTACGACCGCGTTACGTACATATCAACCCAGTAGGAGCCCTTGAGCACTTGACACTCACATGAAGAGAACCCTGCCTGTAGGTCCTGGCTCTTGTGCTACATATAATAAACACCCGAGCCTTAAAATTCTCGTTACTTCAAAGCAGCCTTGACGAAATTAATCGCGATGCCTTGCATCGTTTTAGTTTAAGATCATTTACTATTATTTATTGTATCCACGGAGAGGGGGAGGGAGCTTTTAAGGGGACTCAGCCCCTTCTAAATTCTTAATTAAGAGATGGGGGTCACTTATTTTCCTCATGTACACAGGTGAGAGCTAGAGCAGAATGCACGAAAGACAAAATTGGATGATATCGTCACATTGTTTGGCGTTTAACATTTGTTTCAAGTTTGTTTAACAATGGCTGTTTCGCTCCATCCGGTAATTTTGTATGCCCTCCTCCCTTTAAAAAAAGGAAAAGTCGCACTTCCGCGTTGATAGAATTTGTGAAGCTAGAAGCAAATAAATGATTATTTCTTGCGTGAAAACAAAAAAAATTGTACAACAGCAGGAACCATAAAATTAGAGGGGGAAAAAAAGAATCACAGAACATTAGTTGCGTGCGGTGCGGTGCGGTGCATGGCTGACAGAATACCAACACGCAACCACTCCCCGGGAAGCCAATCTCTTTCCTCAGCACTCAGAACATCACGCTAATGACCAACAAAACAAGCCCAATTTACAATTTGACAATGTTTCTGGAATGATATTAAGTCTTCCACAATTGACACATGGCAGGAACACTTTCTGCAGACTGGTGTTTGTTGCTCTGTCATGTTTGAACTTGTTTTACACTCAAAGAGTTGCATTTCAGCACAGTGCTTCGTGCTCACACTAACTCCGTGTTAAAAATCCAAATCACGCTTCGCACACTTGGCATCAATGCTAAAGGGATGCTCATCAGTTATTTGCATATGCGGACTTACTGTAGTAACTTTTGCCAAGGGGTGCATTTCATCTTCAAAGCGTTTGCAGTTAAAATGCAGCACACTCAATGTATGCTTTGGAATATACAATTGTTTCAATGTTAACATAACCCGCACAGCGCAATGGCACAGAAGCACAGTCATGCACTCGCCGGAACAAGTCAGTGCCTAACGTTCACTTATCATGCTTAATTACACGGCACTGTGTTCAGTTAATTAGGCATATTGATGACACCTGCAGCGATGCTGTGTAAGAACCAAGATAAGTTATTGTGCTCAAACAACGTTGGTGTTACTTGGAGTTGAATGGCACGTCCGTGCTTTTCAACATCTATAGTGCTTTTTGTTTTGGCTGAGGCGAGCACACTGGCAGGTCTTGCAAGGCACAAAGTGATCCGATGCCTTAACTGCGCGCGTGCCAAACACGCACACACACCGTCAATGCTTCAACAATAACAATTTAGATTTATATAGCCTCCCCCCTTCGCTCCCGCTACTGGCTCTAAAACCCAACGGGTCTAAATTGCAATAAATAAATAAATACCTCCCCGTACTGCCTTTTTCACACGGCATATAGAAGGTAATAAAATTCACATCAAGAGCAATAAGCGGTTTACCTGAAATCTCGTAGGAAATGGAGAGAGATGGTGCCACGGTTGGCCTCATTTTTGACTTGGACAGCATCTCTGTGGACAACAAAATGCCAAGCCATCATTGACCACTAATGGGCATGATATTTATTTTTTCCGATGCATTAAGCTGCAAATGAATCTCCTTTTTTTAATGAGGATGCTCTGCACCTTTGGCGGAGGAACAGGAAAAATGCAGCTTTATGGACCATTAAGCAGAATTTGCGTTGCCAAGTCAAGGTGACTAAGTGGCATGCTGCACCAGCTATTAATGTGCTGCTAATAATAATCCTGGCTATCAATAAAGCAAATGCATTCGCAAGGGATAAAGTCATTATCTATTGCGCCTAATTATGTTGAGAAAATTATTTAATTTACGCAAATCATTGCTGTTTTCTGTGTTCTAAACGATTCGAGTAAATGGATTTTTTTCAGATACATAAAGGAAAACAAATGCAGTGCTAGAGTCAGTAGCTCGCACTCATCATTGGCTACTTGTAAAAGCAATTAAATTGTACCATATCTGCACAAGAGTATACCCATTTAAATTTGTACTCGGAATAACAAAGGATTAAATGGTTAACGCTTAGTGATATTAAAAAAAAGCAATACAGATGGTAATATATAGAGTTCAACTTTTTTTATTGCTTACACTAAAAAATTCCATATTCCTGTATTTTTAATTGAATCTGTAGCGCCTTTAATAATGAGGGTGTCAGAAAATTAATTGCTTTACATGTGCAAAGTTTCTGTTTTCCGTGAGGAAAAAATTACAAAAAATTCTCACATTTTCCTTTTTGGTGACACACAATGCATGGCAATTGATGGCCATGCTGACCCAAATGCTCCCAAGTAAAGCAGCAAAACAAAAGCTGCAACCACATTTCCAAGGATTCGAAAAATGCCCCAACACGTCGTGTTGGAGCGACTGCTGTAGGTTGTTTAGACAGGCCGTCTGTAATGAAGGCCCTGCCTCCGGAGGATAATGTTAATTTGACAGTGGCGATTTTTAAAGTGTCGGTGAAACTGGCGAGCGCTGGTAATGCAGCAGAACGAGCGACGGCTGCAGAGTGCCAGTCTCGCCACCGCTTTGCTCTCGTCGGAGCTGGGCAGCGCGCGAAGCTTCGTCCACCTTGCCGCTCGTGGAGGGAGTTTAGGTACAGGATGAGGTTCTCGTTGGCCATGATGCAGTAGACGTCGCGAGTGCGGAGGCCACCGCCGCACAGCCCCGTGTGGTTGGCGCGCCTCCGTTCCGGAGCTCCCATCACCAGCTCCACGCGGCACTCGCTCCACTGCGCCACCTTCCACACGAATCTGTGCACGCAAAGAGACCGATGGTCCCCCGCCGTGTGTATGTGCGTATGCATGATGCTGAACTTCTTTTGCACTGTACGTAGCCAACCGTGCTAAATCGGAGGTGCGGGAAAAGTAGCCTAAACAGAGGTGTAGCATTCAACAGACTGTTTGTGGCCAGTGCCATTCATGAGCACCGATCGATGAAGGCCAGCAGGCACCACGGGGAGCAGTGTTGCGGCACCGTGTCCTCATTTAAGGCCCCAGACAAGCTCAGATATTACGAGCCACTGATGTTAGCCATAGCTAGGAATCGAACCTGGCTCGTGGTGCTCAGAGTGCATTGCCTTAACCACTGCACCAGCGCTCTCTGCAAACACACAGATCTGCGCGCACAGGCATACAAGCATGCCCAAGCAATCCAGTTCTCACAGACGTTATTACAATGCCCGTGTACATCACTTACTGGCAGATAAAAACAAATACAATCAACCTCAGCTCATCAAATGCAAAACTGTGCATGGCTATGAGCTAACTGACATTTTCAGCTCTTTCAGCATTTGTTTTGGCCTCATGTGCCAGCAATTGAAATCCATATCAACCCATCCATCTCTCTTCACTTCAAAATGAAAATGCATTCACATCAACACTTTTCCATTCCTGCTTTTAAGTAGTTAAACTCCAAAGTAACATAACACTTAGCACGGAGATTTGCATGTGCCACGACTGATTGTTTACTTTAATTTCAAGCATTATTTGTATCAGCATTTTTTTTTCTCTTCAGGATTTTCTGCCGCTTCTCCTAATAAATTGCCTTCAAAGATGTATTGGCTTGTGTAACAAAGGGGGAACGTGCTCTGATCTTTTTTCTCAATGTTTAAAAGGACAACAGATCATTATAAACGGCATAGATTTGCACTTTTAGTCATTAAATTGTAGCTTGCAATTTATTACCTTATTTATTTATTTACAGCATTTTTTAAATGACATTCCCCACCACTGAAAAGACAATCACAGAATCACATTAACAAATAACCTCTAGAATCCCACCTCAATGCATCACGCTATACAACGGAGGCACAAAGCCAATTGGGTGTAGAATTAAGATGTATGCAGTTACCCTCCTCTGTTCATTCCACAGTCCAAAAGAGAGTGGGAGAGAGAGAATCTAAAAACGGCGGCCCGGGAGTGTGTGCCTTAAATTAGTTATGCTGTAGTTGGAAACGGTGGTGCCTTTTGAAGGCGATTGAAATGATCTGAGAGCAAGAGAGAGAGAGGGAGAGTGCTTTCCAGCAAAGCAGTTGAAATGTCCCATTTAATAATGGACGCGACGAGCAATGTTGACCTTCTCTTCTTTTGCACCATACATAGCCAACCGTGCTAATCAGAGATGCACCGCTGGATGAAGGGAAATGCCCTCACCATCTCCCACGGTTGGCCACATAACAACAGCCACATTTGAGTATGGTAAAACATATTTTGAATTTGGTAAGAAACTGTTACAAGCTATCTCTTAAATTTTGATTTAAAGCTTTCGTGACTGTAGGGATTCATATTCTTGGTTCTTTCGGTAAAGTCACCACGTAGAAGGGAAACAATAAAATAATGTTAAAAATATATAAAACAATAAAATTAACACGACGTTTCGACTGCAACACCAAGCAATCATCGTCAGGTGTGAAAACCACAGCAAGAAAATTTGAAAAAAATTAAAATTTTCTTGCTGTGATTTTCACACCTGACGATGATTGCTTGTATTCTTAGTTCTTTCGGTAAAGTCACGTAGAAGGGAAACAATACAATAATGAAAATAAAAAACAATAAAATTAACACGACGTTTCGACTGCAACACAAGCGATCATCGTCAGGTGTGAAAACCACAGCAAGAAATTTTTGAAAAAAGTGGCGTTTTTTTCCTTAACGTTCTCACCACTGTCAGTGGTGCGAACGTTAAGCTCTCTCCTTGATTGTTCTCAGAAAGTTTCGATTTGAAGCTTTCGTGACTGCAGCAGGGATTCATCTCCTTGGTTCTTTCGGTAAAGTTACCACGTAGAAGGGAAATATTTTATTGTTTTATTTTTATTATTTTATTATTTCCCTTCTATGTGACTTTACCGAAATAACCAAGAAGAATGTTCTCAGAGAGTTTCTCATTTCGTTATCGTTATGTGGTTAAACGGCATGGGTTAACGTTATCTGTTATTTATATACATTTTTTCCTGCAGTGCGATCAAATTCTCATGTAAATGTGCCAAAGAGAATAGCTGCGCTGAGGTGACATAATAGGTGCGACAATACACACAGATATTAGTAGAAGAGAAGTCGGACCAAGAGACACGCTTCCACTAAAGTTCTTCATAACGACACGTTTGTTGAACAAATTGTAGATACTGTATCTGTCAGAGAGATACAACGAGAAAACACGGAAGAATATGTCTACCCTAGCACAGTTTTCCAGACTAACGAATGAGGAACAGCCAAAGGAGGAAACATGCCTCAGAGGATGTCCACCGAATAGAGGGGATGATGAATCAACTCGCGTGCAGATACACGCAGTGGATTGGTCATGCCTAATATAGAGGGTGTTTTAAATTAATGGACCCAATTTCAAAGCAGTATATTTCACGATGGCAACATGTTACAATTACACAAAAAGTTACAAACGGTTTAATAAGTTATCAAGTTTTACTAATCATTTTATAAATGCTCTATGTGCCCTCCACCAGCTGTACAGACAACATCGAGACGATAGTTGAATTTATCCCAAACGTCTCTCTTCTCACGTTTTCCTCTGTGGGTGCGTGGTCGCCCTGTGCTCTTCCCCTTACATAAACAGCCTGTTTCCTCAAATTGTCGGTACCAACGACGAATGCTCTTTGACATTGGCGGATCAATGCCAAAACGCCGTTGAAACGCACGCTGTACCGCAATTATTGATTCAGGTCTTGCTGAACTGCAGAACGACTGAGGCTAGGGGCTGTTTCTGCGCTGGGAGAGGCATCTAGCGGTAATCATTTGAAATTCTAGGCCCCGCCCTTTCAAGTGGTAAGAGTTTCATTCATGGGCGGTTCGTGGTTGCAGAGATATAGCGATTTCAAAACGGGTCTATCTATCTTAAACACCCTGTACACAATAAAAAATAATGTAGTGAGTTAAGTTCCAGGGCAATGGCCCTTTTACAGAGTAGCTATCACCGTTGCCTGAAATATGAACCGACTGAATGTCTATATTGCTGTATTAGAGAGTGGAAAATAACAAATGTGGCAAAATATATTTTTTTATTTGTGATCGTACGCAGCTGCCAATGGAATCCCTTTCCTTTCTGTTGAAATAATTATTACTCGTTGTGTGTATTTGTTCCACCATTGCTTTAAAATTCTGTATTGCTCTTTAAAGCGAAGAGAGAATCAGAACCTTGCGAAAGGGAAGGACAATTTCAACGGCCAGAAGAGTGTACAGATGAACTCATAGCCCAGACTTTCGTGTCAAACACATCCTCTCCATTCACTTGTAAATTGTACAACAGGACTGGACGCGCGTCTCTTCATTGGTTGCAACAATTAAATAAATGACTGTGTTTTTCTCTCCGCAGTTACAGTGATGGGACACCCTTAAGAACCCCGTGCTTAAAAAAAGTGCTCATCGTGAACACAGGAGATGCCGTGTGCTCTTCATTTTTTGTTCTTCTCCGTTGCATCAAGTCACACGGGACTTTGCGACTCATTATCACGCTTGATCCGAACGGGAAGAGACCGTGTGGTATAGATCTCCCCATGCATTAGGTGAGAGAGACCGAGCCTTTATATTATACGCTGATCATTTAAACGGTTTTTCAAGTTCTAATCTACCGGTTCCAAGCTCTTCCATATGAACGTCAGTCGCAGCGAATGTTCAATTTGATTTGTGGGGCACTTACGCTCAGCAGCAGTTACACATAATACATTACTGTAATCAAATTACCAATTGTATCAATGTTAATCCAGCGGTATTTGCTCCAATCACAATGTACGAGATAACAATTTAGCGAATTACTTTCATATTCATACAGAATATAAAAAAGTATTTAAACAAAAATGTGTGGAAATTATCACGTCGGCAACCGGAGTCGACATGAGGACAGCAGCAGCCATTGCATATAATATTATTTATCCAGGAAGACTCCTGCATTCGAGATGTCTGGCCTTCACCAATGATATTGTATGTTTTTAGCTATGGGGGAAAACAAACGGAAAACCCAGAGAAAACCCACTCGCACAAACCCCACACAGGAAGGTGCCCAAGTTCAGAATCAAACCAAGGCCTTTCTTGCCAGATTAAAAATGCTTATGTATTCCGCCTTTAAAGTACTGTTATTTCCAAAAACTAACTCTACTTAATGTATGTCTAAAGAAAATAACCATAAATGTAAGCAAGTAATCAAATTAATGTTTATTTTTTTTTCTAATACCCCACTGTGCTCAATTGCCATTGCTGCCGTACAAAACACTTCTCCATTTCTTCCCTCACACTGCTCGACTCTAGAATTCCCCCACATCGCCTCTTTAACAAACTTTCTAACGTATTAACTCTCATCTATAACACCTTCAGCAAGTGCGGTTTCTTGCTGGCCGCTTGGATATTGTGGGGACTCGTGATCAGCGACTGCGATACTTAAAAAAGATGGCTTACGTCACATCACTTGCTAAACAAAAACTCAAATGTATGGGTGTGTGTTGAACTTCTTTCGCACCGTACTTAGCCTACCATGCTAATCGGAGGTGCGGGGAAAGGTCAACAAACTAAAACACGCGCAAAAAACAAACTCAACACGAAATTATCAGTAATCAGAAGCCGATGACTTCTCAAACAAAGCAAACCCCTCGGGGGTGGTTACCGTGGACATGGCGTCAGCGTCTCCCCGCCCTCCTCGCTGCAATTCTCTCGCTCGATGAGCGGGGGGCAGACCTGGCCCCCTCCGAGGGCGCTGGCCCGCACCGAGCGGGAGCGCGAGCGAACTCCGGGGCCCGCGGCCGCGCCGCCTTCGGGTCCGCGGCACGTCCGCGAGCACGGTGACCAGGACGACCACTCCGTCACCACGCAGTCGCGTGGCAGCAGGCACGGCTGGAAGGCCGGCGACGGGCTCTCCGACAGGCACAAGCTGCGAAAGAGAGTCACCGTGGTCATCGGCAGTGGCCGCCGCCGTGGTCAATCCGCCACTGCTGGTCGGAAGGCCGCGCTTCACCGAGCCGCTGCCACGTCTATCGGTCGTGCGATGTTAAATCATTCCACCAGGTACCTGCGCGCAAATTGATTTCACCACTCAATCTCCCCGGTGGATGTCCGCTCAGGCACGTTTTAATTCCAGATTACTGTTCATAAATAATTATATATCGACATCCCTTTTCAAGCCACTGCTGGGTGAAGGCCTTCCCCATGTATGTCACCACATAGGTCATGCGTGAGTTGGTAAACTGTGGGGGCCCAGAAACAGTTCAGATATCGCTCGCCACCGATGTTAGAGCCACGGTTGGGAATCAATCTCAAGTTGCTTGGTTCGTAGCATAGTGCACTAACTACTGCGTCACCTTCTCCACCACAGCTGTTAAGGAAAAAAAATATTTTTTGCGTAAATGTTAATAGCCAACATTATCTTAATTTGGAAAACTACGCATCGATTGGTGAAAAGCGTCAGCGCAGCAATGGAACTCACGTCAGTGGGGCGCTTTTTCCATCGCTCCTAATGCATCGGACCTGTCGGCTCTGATAGCCAATCTGCACATCCCAGGGGGACCCCCCTCGAGGCCAATCATGAGGCGTCGATCTCCACTGCTCCTTGGTCCATCGTTTTAATTCTATACCCTCTCGAGGCAATCCGGTAGAAGTACCATTGACTGGAAAATCGGGTGCCGTTTTATTGAGCATTTCGGCTTTTGTAGTCCTGCTGAAATTGGTACCATTTGGTTCTGCATTGTGTCTCACATCCCGAATGAAACGTCCAATTCTAGCGGGTCTGCAGTCGCTCCAAGGTCCGACTCTGAGGCTGTACTTGAAGCCACCGTCTCCCCCATCACAAGCAGAGTCATCTCGGCAGCTGTGGACTTCGGTGAGGTTGGGGCACAACGCTCCTCCAAACTCTGGTGGCACCAGCACGGTGCGTGTGCGGTACTGCAGGCCCGAGTCTGCACCGCAGGGACGCTCGCACGGGGACCAGGCGGAGAACTCTGATGCAACGCAATCACGTGGGCAGGCAGCGGTGCATGACTCCTGGTCAGATGGTCTTGGATCAAATACCCGGCACAGCTGCTCCATGTCGAGCACCTCTGTTCCATTATCTTTCCACGTGCAAACGACATCTCGCTTTTTCCATCCAGGCAGTCCATCTATCCCACAGACAGGCCCCAGCGATGGGGTGTTTAAGTCTGGACGAGGCTCACACGGTCTCCACTGTCCAACATTCCAGGTCGCCAGCCCACGGTGCTCCTCGCAAACGTGAAAACACTCCCGTTGAGAAGCAGGCCGCTCAGAAACTACCTGGGCCTCCCCCTGCTCAGCCTGCAAGCAGTTCGATCGAAGTGTGGTCCAGCCTTCCACGTGCTCACACCACACCTTCCTGACCTGCGTTCCACCCGCTCCACATGCTTCACCTCGACATTCTTCCCACGGTCCTGGCAGTAGACAGAGAGACAAAAGGCACAGTGAGAGACATACTGCTGTGTGTAGGTTTTCATGCCTGTGCTGTATAGCCCTGCGATGGGATTTAGAGTTGTACCATGTTGTTGGTTCGGTGTGATGTTTGACATTCTACTTGGAGCAATACGTTGGACGTTTTACTGAACAACAAGCAGTACACCTCAGAAACACGCCAGGGAAACCAAAGCTACCGAATGGCTTTGTCAACTGCAAAACATTTTGAGAATTGTATTGAAGCATTCAATATACCCGGACCAATTTTTTTTATATATATATTTCTTGCCAGTTGGTAGTCATTATGTTTCAGGTTTTTTCATGTCGAGCAAAGAAAAGCGTTGGTATGTAATGGCAATGTATGGGCCCTACACATCTTTATTATATTGTATATGTATGGTATTAAAAAAATAGGTTTTGATTGAGCACCGAAATATTAATTTATCTGAATATGTGCATCTATTTATATAGAGACAGACGTGTATTTTGATTACAAAAATAGTTTAATGCATGCAAGCATGCTCTGCAGTGTACATTTAGATTTTAAGATACTCAAAGATCAGAAAATCAGTTTGAAGAACACGTAAAATATTCTCTCATTTCAAAACATCACAGAGATCTCAACTAAAGGAGTATTTATTTAATGTGAGAGGTTGCAGTTTTCATTTCCAAACTTTTGAAATAGTCATTGGTATACACGTTTCATGTGCAACAGGCAATATACTGCACACAGGGACACGGATCCTCTCCTGGCATGGGAATAACCCGAATTGATGCACTCTCACACGAGCGGAGCGTCACCTCACAAACTGGAGGTTACCTTTTACGTCTCAAGGTGCTATAATTGCAATTGCAATGAAAACATTCTAAGTAATCCTCTTTAACCCCAGCTGTACATCAAAGTCACGTTTCACCAGCGGCAGTGGGGGCAATGATTAAAAATGAATTAAGAACCAGGCAGTTTCTCATTACGCCAGCTGTTGTAGTGCCCTTTTAAAATATGTGTAACATAAATCCAAGAGGCTAACGTGTCTGTCATTCTTCGAGTCGGATTTGTTGACTTTTTAAAAAAATATACTATTTAGCATCATTCTATAATTCAGGTATTTGAATTCTGTGGAAGTACACACCCATTGTTCACAAAGATTATTGGGAAATGTAGATGCTTGACCAACCATGTGAGCAAGCTGCGTTCAGGAAAGGCTTCTCCACGATCAACCATGTACACATCACTAGAGGAGTGGTGGCAGGTGGTCGAGACTAACGACAGAATGGTAGACACATGCACAAACATCCACCGTAAAAATGGAGCAATAAAATGAGCTTATTTAAAAGGAGTCTGACGGATTGCGATATTGCAGGACTGTGGGCAATTGCAGTGACTTAGGGAGGCCTATAGGAGGTAGATCATGGTTGATGATGAAGTTGTTGATGATGATGATGATGTTTTTGAAGATAATGATGATGAAGCCAACTACAAATCTGGCCAATGCATTGGGGAGAGGAGTTCCCAAGAAGCAGCAGGTCTTGGAAGACCAATGCTGGAAGCCCTATGGTAATGAAGGCTTGTGGAGCTTGCACTCTTTGTTGCATGGCAGAAGGAGAGCTTAGATCACTGCATGGACTGGAGTTGACGCCAAATTATTTGGAAGAGATGAGCTGCGATGCACAGTGGTAGCGCAAAACTGTGCACAGGATAGAGGTGCACAATTACTTCCCATCGAGAGAAACGTGCCACTGCATTTCTCTGGCACATCAGAACCCCCCCCACCCTCCCAATTTTTTTTTTTACAAAATTGCTTTCACCACTGAGATAAATGATCATAAATGGGTTGATGGATGTAACTTAGCTTCATAGGAAAGGTGACTTAAGAAATGCAGTATATTAACTTTGTGATATATTCTGCAATATATTACACATTCCCAATTATTTAGATTTTTTTTTCCTTTAATAATGTAATGCTTGTCCTAAGCTTTTGGATTTTCAACTTGAAGGGTAATTTGGTGCCTGCGTGGCCAGTCCTTTCATTCACCATTTTTTGGAGGAATTTCGAATTTTCTTATGAACAATTAATGGAGTAGGCATAGTTCTACCCCAAATGATGTTTCCAGTTTCCTTTTTTGTGAGCTTGACTGCAACTGCTATTTGTCACACCTCACATGCTTCAGGGCTTCACTAAAAGTTTCAAGAATGCTGATGGATGCGTGGATGCCAACTTTTTTTCCCTTCCCTTTAAGCTCTCGAGTACATTTGCCCCAGAATTATATTCATTGGACAATATTTTTACGATTTCAATCATCAGCATTTTTGGCACGTCTCAGTTTTGTAATTCTCCGAGCAATGTCGAATCGCAATTTGGAAACCACCAAAGGTGACGACATCAATGAAACGGTGGCACATTTCACCAAATGCATTTCATATCAATCTTTGGAAAATTTAAAATGTCGCAAAGACCCCAGGGTACTAAAATACATTTGCAAACAACAGAGACCACATGAGCACAAGCACAGATGTGGTCTTAACTATTAAACCCCAGGGCTCAATGTTGAAGCCACGATCTCGGCCCTCAAAGCCACACTCATCTCGTCTGTAATTCATTCCGAGCCTTGCGCAGCATTCATAGCTTCACCGTACCTCCTCCTTCATCTCCTGCTCAGAGCAATAATGCTCGGGTAGGCAGTGGTCCATCAGAGGCAGAAAATAATGGATCTTCATGAACCACAGGTTAATTAACTCTTTTAATATTAAATTGACATGTGAACATTAATAACAAGCTTGCACACTACTCCATGCATCTGTAAATCTGCAAATGGGGCTAAATAAATACTCGTGTGTGTATATTATGAGGGGTTTTGTTGCCGTTTCTGTAATTTGTGTATTCGTGTGTAATCACAATACCCACGGAACCTTGTCATCTGCAGCTTTAAGAAAACAAAAATCAGGACGCGTTGTGGAATTCAATATATTATATCGGGACGCAAGTGTTTCTCATGGAAAGAGTAAATATACTGTACTATACTGTAAATTCCAATGATTAAAATAATTTATTCATTTTATTAACTATATCACTACACAAGTTTGCTTTGAAATAAGTCCATTAGAGGAATATTTATCAACAGAAAAATTACAATTATGATTCAGAATGATCATCATCAGCCATTGTCAATCCACTACTGGATGAAGGGCTCATCCAAGCTACCATCATCTCTCACGATCCTGCGATGTAATAATCCCCATAGCACCTGCACATCAGACGATTTTATTATCATTATTATTATTTAGCATTAAGCTCGTATATATAGTCACACAACAAGGAAGATGTTACATTAAAATATGAGATAAATGCCATATGGCATACACGAAGCTTTGGTGTTCATATCAGGGGCAGAGCCAGGATTTTGACTTTGGGGGGGCTGACTTCAATATTCTGAGATATCCAGTGTTTATGTTTTCCAATGGGCGTCACAAATGTATAAAACAAATTTTATTGGATTTGAACGCGGAGTTTAATAATAGGTTGGAGCCGCTGATGTGGCTAATAAGTTCGATAAGTTCGAAAGGCTGCCGCTCAAGCAGCCTGCAAGGCAGCACAAGGTGGCAGCCTGCAGCATTTTGCAGAAGACGGATATCCGGTTATCCCGATTACCGACTTCCAAAAATTTCAGGGGGGCCAAAGCCCCCCCCAGCCCCCCCCAGCCCCCCCCCCAGCCCCCCCCCCTGTGGCTCCGCCCCTGGTTCATATCCAACTGAGAATGGGCATGAAGGGAAGGCAACAATGAAGATGTAGAGACAATCACCACGCAAGAGAAAGACAAATAAAAGCTGAGCAGAGATGGTCTCTGAAGAATACTCAATAGAGGGGATGATTATGATGACGACGACGAATGGATGATGTTAAAACAGGAAGACAATACGAGTCCGTGAAGAGACATATTGCAAAAACACGCAGCCCCTCTAAATTTTTTTGCAGTCTCACAATGACCTCCAATGGAGTGCTGGGCAAACACAAGGCTCACCCAATGTCATCGGCAATGACTGTTTAAACATGGCCGTGGATGTTTGTCCATCGGTCTTGATTGATTGCCAGGGGTTTTCCCCCCCCCCTTGGCAGGAGAACATAATGGACGTCGTGGGATTTTAATACAATGTCACATATCAGACGGTAAAGGCGAGAGGGCAATGCATGTGTGTACTGAGCAACAAACAAAAAAAAACATCATACGTGCAGCCTATCAAGATTGATCCGAGGGACCACGGGTTTCCAGCAATGCCCGTTCTCCATCCACCCTCCCGCGTCCGTTCCTTCCGTGCCTCTGATCTTTGACTCAACAGGGCATGCCATCTCATTCCCTTGCGCCCTCTGCACACGAAACCGCCGAGCACACAGTACTGCCACCACCATCATCATCACCACACGCTAAGCAGTGGTCTTCGGGCTAGAAAAGTATTGGCCATATGTCCATTATTAGGAATCGTTAACCCACTGCAATTGATGTACTCCGCAGTGCCATGATTAATCACCATCTGGGAACCCGGACAGGCACGCGAGCAGTAATCCCGACTGCCTTTCTTTGCTAATAAGCCAAGTGAGTTATCAAGCAGGCACTGCTCATAATGCAGTGCCTCTCCAACACTCAGTTGCAGGATCTTTGATATTATGCATTCTATATCCCAGAGTTAGATTTAAGCACTTAGAAAAATGAAAATACTTTATGCGAGCTATTTTTGTTCGTATTTTTTTTGCATTTTCATTAACTGCATTGAACAGAACCGTAGTTTACTTGCCCACACCTGCAAAGGGGTTACAGATGTTCTCCAGCTGTGATCTACAGAGTGGGGGAGTACAGCAAATTTTAGAAGGAAGCAGGATAGGAGGCGATAGCAAAGGGAGGAAATAGAGGGGTTGACCAACCTATGTTATATAAATTAAAGATAATCAAGTGAGAATCAAATCAATTAATGAGGGAATAAATCCTCGTG